TGGATACGTGGGTTAATATTGGATTTATGGACTTGATCTGGACTGGGCTGGGATGTTTTCTCAATATTCAATTGCTCTTGGATATAAAGCTCTTTCTTCTATACATATGAGTGTCTATGAATTTGTTGATATACCAGACTAACACAGCGACAGTGGCTGTGAATTGGTCAAAAGGCGTAGTCACTGTAAGCCAATAGAAAGAATGATGCTGCAGAGTAAGTGTAAGCAGGCCTTCTTGTACATGTATCATGCAAAGGCAAGGGCCACCAGGAGGGGGTGCTAAAAAGGCAATGGATACAAAACCAAAGCAAGTATTCCAACATACGAGGGGGTACACCCCCACCCCTCAACAAAAGAACCAAAAAAGCAGAAATAAACTCCACAAGGCAGAACTTTTCTAGTATGCATTTTGCCTGCTAGGTGAGCATCGAGCACTTCGCTCTGAGTTGGTGCACCCAGTGGTATCGACTGGGACTGGTCTCTCTGGTCACAGTGAATTTTTTCGTAAAATCAGTTTCAGTCGAACCTCGTTTTTTGTGATGGCCGATTTAAGAGAACAGCATGAGGCTATGAAATTTTGTTTCCTGCTCAGGAAAAATGCCACAGAAACTGTTGTGATGTTGAACATAGCTTAAAAGGACAATGTTATGGGAAAACTCAAGTGTCTGAGTGGTTTTCTCATTTCAAAAAGGATGAAATATTGATTGATGGCAAACCTCGCTATGGACACCCGTCCACTTACTGACCAGATGAAAATTTCCACAAAATGTGTGTGCTAGTGCTTGAAACCCAGCGATGAACCATTGAAGAGATGCGGAAGTTAACTGGCCTATCTTGGAGCTTGGCTCAACAAATTGTAATGGGAGTCTTGGAAAGGAGAAGAGTCACTGTGAGAGTTGTGCCTCGGGTTCTGACCGAGCAGGAAAAAGAGGATTGAGTGGAAACGTGCCGTGCTTCGAAAGAACAGCTCCGAAGCGACGTGGACTTTTTCCCCCCAAGGTCATTACTGGTGACAACACATGGTGCTATTCTTTTCTTTCTTTTTTTTCATTCAAGGCTGATCAATTTGAAAAATATGGAATGCTTCACAAATTTGCATGTCATCCTTGCGCAAGGGCCATGCTAATTTCCGTATGGTCCCAATTTTAGTATGTGTGCTGCTGAAGCGAACCTCACATGGTGCTATTCTTATGACCCCAAAATCAAACATCAATCAAGCCACTGGAAGACTTCATAATCACCTCACCAAGAAAAAGCTCATCAATTGAAATCAAAGGTCAAGAAGACACTTTTTTTTATGTAAGGGGGATAATGCATTTGGAGTTCATTCCATCAGACCAGACTGTAAATCAAGTTTTCTATTCTGAAAAGATTGCCAAAAAAAAAGGCCTGATTTGTGGCAGATGGGGGACTGATGTTGCCACCACGACAATGCACCTGATCACATAGCCATCTCAGTACATGCCAGTTTTGGGGGGAAAAAAAAAATGCCTCTATTGCCCCATGCACTTGACTCACCAGACCTGGCTCTGTGTGACTTTTTTTGTTTCCTCGAATGCAGAGGGACATGAAAGGATAGCAATTTGATGATGCAAAGAGGTGAAGAAGGGAAAAAAAAAAATGAGGTAGGTGCTGTCGGCCATCCAAACAGAAGAATTTGAAAACTGTATCCAAGAATGGAATCACATATTTGACAAATGTATTAAGAGTAATGGAGAGTACTTTGAAGGTGATAAGGTTGTTTGTTTGGGAAAAACAAATTAAACACATACCTTTGAAAAAAAATTCTGGTTTGGGGGAAGTGCCCCTGTATCATTCATTACCCTGTGAGACAGAGTAGAACTGCCCATAGGGTTCCCAAGACGGTGACTGTTTATGGAAGCTGATTGCTACCTCATTCTCCACCGGAACACCTTGAGAGCCCAAAGGCACGGAACCACCACTCCACTGGAAAACACGCACACACACACACACGCCCAAGCCTACTTCCATCAAATCTATTGTGACTCATAATGACCCCGAGAGTGTTTCTGCGACTGTAAAAACGTATAGGGTTTGAATGGCTGACCTTCTAGTTAGCAGCAGCCCAAGGCCTGCCCCACAGCATCACTCACTGCCACAGAGCCAACCCTGTAGGACAGAGCAGCACTGCCCCCTGTGAGTTTCCAAGACCGTAACTGTTTATGTGAGCAGAAAGCCCATCTTTCTCTACCAGAGTGGTTGGTGGTTTCGAACTTCAGATCTCGGGCTCCTTTAATACAGTATTTACTCAAAAACTCAACTATCAAGCAGATGCAACAAATTTCGGATACGTCAACACCATCAGTATAGCTTAAGTGAATTATAGTGAGCATGCACCAAAGGATATTCCCTGTATGTTTTCTTCTGTGTGAAATTCTAGAAAAAATAAAAACATAATAGCAGAAAGCGTAGAAGTGGAACCCTAGCTTAGGTCAAAAGTCAGGAGGAAGGATTCTGACAAAAAATAGAGACAAGAGAAGTTTTTGAAATGGTAACAATGTTTGATATCAAGAGTGTGATGATAGGGACACAGCTGCATACATTTGGCAAAACTCATAAAATGATTCCTTTGAAATTGGCCAATTGGACTGTACCAAAGGAGCCCGGGTGGTGTCGTGGTTACACACTGGGCTTTCATCCACTTGGTCGGCGGTTCGCAGCCACCACAGCTCTGAAGGGGAAAGACTGGGCTTTCTACTCCGGTAAACAGTTACCGTCTCAGAAAACCACCGGGGGCGCTATCAGTCAGTAGTGACTGGAGGGCAGTGGGTTTGGTTCGTGGTGGTGGTGTTTTTAAATATACCTCAATATATAAAGTGAAGTCTATGGAAAGCCCTACAATTCAAAGATAAATGCAAATGAAGAGGAATTCTAAGTATTGATTTCCTCTGTGACAAATAGTCTAATGGTACAAAAAAATCAAAATTATATTGGATTCATGAACTTAAGAAACCATCATGAAAAGAAAGGCTTCTAAGTAGAGACAAGTTAAAAAGCCACGATCATATCAAAATCAAAATCCATAAAGAGGGCAGTGAGCTAATGGTTTATTGGTTTGTTTTCTTAGTTGTCTGATTCAGCTAGGGGACCCAAAAGCTCCGTCAAAGCAAGGACCTTATCTTTTAAGTTCAGTCCTCTCTCTCCTCCGGATCTAGAACAGTTCCAGCAGAATTAAGCATGAGAGGGAAATGGGTGGCGAGGCTCCCTGGTGGCACAGTGGTTGATTGCTTGGCTCAAACCCAAAAGCTGGCATTTCAAACCCACCAGCCAGGCTGCAGGAGAAGTTTGCAGCATCTACATCTAGAAAGATTGTCCCTGTTTGGCGCCATCAAGTCAGGTCTGACTGAAGCACAGTGGAAAGATACACTACTCTCTCCTGCTCATCCACATGAGCATTATCATGCTTGAGCACCTGGTTGTGGTCACTGC